TTAGCAAACATCATGTGAGATGTAAAATACATAGTCAATAATAGTTTTTGCAAACATTTTCTGCAATTGCTTTTACTAATTCACTCAGGTTATCTGTGACCCAAAGAGCATACCTGTCCAGTAGGCAAGGAACTCCCTGGTATCTAGTAGTGAGTCTCAGCTGACCTGACCAGCTCACTGTTGTCATGAAATATATTTAACAGATGTCATGAAAGGTTTCATGTGAACTGGTAACACATTAGTCATTAATCTTATTGTGTGGTGCTTGTACAGGAGAGATATGACAAATTATAGATATGTGCTGGAAATATGCTCTTAAAGTGATTTTAGCAGATAGAGCTTAATACACCTTGCCCCAGTCAAAGGAATGTGGTCCTGCCTGCTTGAATGTGCCCCCTATGCACATTGAGCAAAAAGAGAAAAAACAACAGAAGCACATTTACATAAAAGGTAAAGAAAGACATGAGACTAACTTGCGGGGGACATGATCAATTAACTATCACAATGGTGGGAGGAAAAGAAACTTTACAGATATAAAGCAGAGAGAAAAATCCATTTTGTCTCCTTAGCTGAAGGATCCCTACAAAGCCACAGGCTATAGGCTCTGTGTTGTATCCTGACTAAGGGTCAGGCAGCCATACTAGAAGAAAAACTGATGAGAAAAAAGTCTCAGAGCAGTAGTCATGTTAGTCTGTAACTTTAAAACAACGAATAGTCCCATGGCACTACTGTGAGCAAAAGTTTATTATGTTAAGGTTTACTCTTAGAAACATATTTTGTTTCTTAGTAAACATTTCTATCCCAATTCTTTTTACTTTGTACCAGTTAAGTAGAAGTTCTTTGTTAATTAACTTAATCTTGTTTTATCACACAACTATCCCTATGCAGTATATTACAGTGAATAGTAAACTCCTCATCCAAACTAAAAGGTACTGTCTCTTTAAAGAAGCAATATCTTTGATAAGGCTTTGTGAGGGGCTAAGCACTGCAGAAAAGATGGTTTTGGGGAGATTGGAAAGCTTTTGGTGTCACTGCAGGAGGAGCAGTCGGGCTGATGGAAACCAGGGTGAAATCACTGTGCTGTAAGTAAGCTTCTGGTGTCAGGGTTCTAAGATGCCCAGCACAGAACTACTCAAGGTTACAGGGCAGGAGGTAAGAACAAAGAGAAGTCTTGTGGCACCTTATAGACTAACAGATTTATTAGTCTATAAGGTGCCACAGGACTTCTCATTGTTCTTGCAGATTCAGACAAACACGGCTACCCCTCTGATACAGAGCAGAAGATGACACAACACTTTACTTGCCTGGATAAATCCCCCCAAAGCATCACACTGACTCATTATTCAGATAATTTATGCCCTGTAAAGGTGTGTTGTTAATTTTTAAAAAGCAGTTATTGACAAGTTTATTCTAGCAGTTTCTAATTTAATATTAGTTTACTTTTAATTTCATAGGGTATGTCTACACTAGCCCCCTAGATCGATCTAGGGAGGCTAAGGAGGGCGACCGGAATTGCAAATCAAGCCCGGGATTTTAATATCCTGCTTTTGATTTGCATGTTCCCGGCCAGTTGCCGTTTTAGAAATTGACTAGCCCGAAGTAACTGTATTCACTAGCCCGAAGTAACTGTGGTATTCCTTGTGGAATGAGGTTTACCACCTAATTCGATGTAGGGGCTTTATTCTGGAATCCCGTTTCACTGCCGCGTATAGATGCAGGCAGTTACTTTGGACTAGTCAATTTCTAAAATGGCGACCGGCAAAGAACATGCAAATCAAGTGCGGGATATTTAAATCCCGGGCTTGATTTGCAATTCTGGTCGCCCTCATTAGCCTCCCTAGATCGATCTAGGGGGCTAGTGTAGATGTACCGATATTCTGAGAATTCAGCTCTTATTTTTCTAAAATGAAAAAGGAATACAATGCTTAGGAAAGCTGGAAATTCTGATATTACCGATGTTTAGATAAGTAAGTATAAACAGACAGCAGCTTTGGGATTTGGGGAGACAGTAAAGCTACAATAAACAGAGAGAAGACTAAACAAACGATCAGCATTAACCTCGGATACCAAAGATAGAATAGTAACTGCAATTAGGCCTAGTCTGTATGATATGGGAAGGTCAAAGTAAGATATGCAATTCCAGCTACGTAAAGCTCCAACTCTAGCTGTAGTCGACATACCTTACATCACATTTCTGTGCCATCCACACAATGGGAGCCTGATGGGAGCAAATGCTCCTATGGGCTTCCCTTACTCCTTGTGAGGAGCCGGTGTACCAGCACTGATGGGAGTGCCCTTTGAGTTTGATCTAGTGGATCTATACTACACCCGCTAAACCAAATCCCAAAATTCGACTGTGTCAGTGTTGATCTTCCATGTAGTACAGACATACCCTCACAGAATGCATGTTAGGGAAGGAACAACTTCTGATAATTTAGGCAAATTTCTTGGAGTTTTCACCTTTGTTATTACTATGGAAACAACAGGAGGTGTTTTATTACGGGACTTAAACAGAGCTTATTCTAATGCAAGATGTTTTTTATAATTCCAACCCCCATCCCAAAAGAAACTAAATTGCATAAATTTACATAGTCATATCATTTTGGGGAAACCTGCACTTCTAAAGACAAAAGTAAAGTGAGAAAAAGAGCCAAGTACAATATTTCCATTTTAGAGTGCCATTACTGACTTCCTAATACACATATTTTTAGTAATTTACATATAGCAAGTGGCTGCTCAGAAAACCTCTGACAGTTAATTTCTTTATAGGTACGTGCACACTGAAATCCTCCGAGATGACACATCTCTGCAGGTAAAGCAGCAAATATCTTCTCAAACACTGTTCAAACTTTGGAACCCCCAAAGATTTAATCAGTGCCATGCACTACGTTGGATAAAAATTGAACAATTGAGACCATTTTGACTAACGTGACAAAAATAGCCTGCTCTCTAGACCTTGCTCAAATGATTGAGGAACACCGAATTTTAGAGAAAACTGACTAAGCATGTTGAGTTTAGAAGATTTTGTGTAAAGATCAACCTTTAAACAGAGGTGTTAATGCAACTTTAACCATAGCAGCACTACTGTACCGTATTGCTATTACAATAGCAACACTCAGGCTTTGTCTATATTACACAGCTTTTAATGACATGGCTATATCACTACAGATGTTCTGCTAAAAACTAGGCAGGGTAATCACTGTTTGTCAACTCTTTTGCTGACAAAATACTTCCACCTCCAACAAATGGCATTAGATTTGTCAGCATGGGAGTGTGCATGCCGACAAAGGGGTGCTCACGACAACACTTGTTGTCAGCACAGCTTTTGTCTTTTGAAGTTTTGTCATTTTAACACCTCTGAACTATAAATGTTTTGTCGTTTAGTTACCAGCATACACATAGCCTCAGTCACTTCCAAACAGTGCTGGAATTAAATTGACAACGTAAAGGAGGAAGCTCTTTACTCTAAATACAAACCTCAGAGTCATCCAGTCCCCTATTATATTGTTCTATTTTAAAATGTAACTTTCAATAGGAGGTTCCAAAATTCAAACTGTAATTAAACTTAATTTTCAATTGTATTTCATGGTTTACTTCTGATGAACAGAGCTTCTCATTTTAAAATTTCAGGCCGATGAATACAGAGAAATAGGTACAATTTACTTTATTTAAAAAAAATATTATTACAATAAACTGTATGGGAAATTTCTCAGATGACAACTGAAATTGAATTGTCAGATTTCTAGAGAAATTACTCAGGGCTTGTCTAAACTGGCATATTTTGTCACCAAAAACTGCCTTTTGGTGACAAAACAGTGAGAGAGTTTACACTAGAATCAACTTTTCTCAGGAAAAACACCAAGTTTTGGTAACAGAAACTTCTAACCTTGGGAGCAACTTTTGTCTTTTCTCCTCCCTTTATTGTGGAAAAAGAACTAGTGTGGACTCTGCTGTTTGTTTTATTGAGAGAACTGGCTTCTGCCAGTATCCCACAATGCCTGCCCTGAAGACTGTGCTCAGTGTTGTGATCTCTGCTGCCCTGTAGGCATGCGCCCCTCCCCTTTCAAAGCTCTGGGAAGTAACTGACAGCTGAGTGAGCTGCTCCACTTGGGGAACAAAGAACAAATCATTGGAATGCTTCTGATCTGCCCTGCGCTAGGAACACAGCAGCAGGCAGGCTGCTGCTGCTGCAGTGGGAGGACTGGAAAGACTGCTATGTTACTTTGACATTCCTTAGTACAGCGAGCTCACAGAACTACGAAGGAATCCCAAGTGCAGGGATCAGCTTGGCCTTCCCACAACACTGCACTGTGGGATGCTTACCCACATTGCTCTGCTCTGTCAACAGGGTGCTAGCAATGTGGCCATGAAATATCAACAATGGGAAGCAGAAAAATTAGTTTGACTGGTTTTCACTTTTGGTAACTTTTGCATGTCAATCATATTTTTGTTGCTAAACCTTCCCAGTGTAGACATACCTACACTTCTCAGTCTAATATTAATAGTATAAAATGTTTATTCCATTTCACATTCATGTTACTATGGAAAAAGTCACTGAGATTTATTTATATTATAGCACTTCCTTAGTATATTCTTAATTCTTACTGTCCTATTAAAATGCATAAATAATCTTTTAAATTAGTAATTGAAATTAACCTCATTTGAACCTGACGATCAATTCCATTCATAATATTATGCCACCTCAAAACTGAATTAGACCAATTTAACCAATACAATTATTCTACATAACCATACTCAACAGTCGCCACCACTACTTCGGAGAGTCGAACATATTTAAATATGATATTTTTAACTGCTGATATTCATTTTAAAGATGCCAGAATGAGAGTACATTTATATGTTGAGAGTAGAAAGCCTCCCAGTTTTTATCAAATATTCCCAGTTAATAATATAAAAATAATTGCTGAAATGTGGTAACTAACTTATTTCACTGATACGTTGTTTTAATATCTTCTATGCAATTATGTGTACAAACATACCTTTTCTCCAGGAAGCCCGGAAGCACCATCTTCTCCTTTAACTCCCTCTTCACCCTAAAAAATAAATTGCATATTTAAAGATTTTGAACATTTTTAAAAGTGGCTTGCCACCAAGGCAACATGTTATTAATAGATTATTATTTCCATGTATATAGTTGTGTTTTCTTTCACAATTTAAAAAGATATCATAAAATGGTGTTCTCATTGTGAGAACATTTGATTAGTGAAAATATGAGCTATGTAAACTTTGGTGAAAAAACCTGCTGGCATAACATTAAAATGCCTCAGTTAATGAAAAAGAGAAAAGAAAAGCCATTTAAAATTAAAGCCACAACCCAGTATGCACTTATACCAAGGGTGGGGAACCTTTTTTGGGTTGGGGGCTGCTAACCTATGGAAAAATCAGTTGGGGGCCACACACACAAGTGAGAAGGGGGAAAAAAGCCACTCCCTCACTCCCTCACTGACGTGGCCACTGACTTGAGAAGGAGAAAGGCACTCCCCATATTCCCATTGCACACTACAGCCTGAAGAGAGCCATATTAGTAGATTTTGGGTGCTCCAGCCCTGCAGTGGGGCCACAGGAGGCTGGAGTGCCACTGTGGGCTTCCCAAGGCTAGGGGACCATAAGCCTCAGGGGCCAGATTCAGTCAAACCAGGGACCGCATCCAGCCCCTGTGCCTGAGGTTCCGCATCTCTGACTTATACACATGCTTAATTTGACCAACCTAATCAGTCTCATTGATATTAGTGGGACTACTCACTATCGTATTAAAGGTATGCCTCTTGGTGGCCACTTCTGGTGGCTTGCATGATAACGAAAAAGGTGGGATTTGTGTTCTTCTACATTGCAGATGTGTGAAGGCAAGATTTGTCTTTCTATGGCAAGATTATATATATACACACAAATATGAGTATCTAGTACTCCACTCACTAGGATACATCGGAGAAAAAAGTGTGTTTCAATCAATTTTGTCATATTATAGGATGTTTCAAAAATATAGGGGCCAAAATCCTACTGTCTTAAAACAAAATCCCCATTCACTGCAGAAGTTAGTTCAGTATCTACATATAGTTACATGCAGCTAATATTTCTACAGCTAACAGCTCATATGTGCAGTTAGTATTTCTTTATTTTTAAGATGCTAATGATCAGGGACAAAAGTTCTCACTAAACTGGAATATCCACACCTCATGCTAACAAGTCATTTTAGGGTAAATCTATTCCTAATACGTAAAAACAAGTATAAAATCGGGGAGGGGGGGGCGAAGGGGTTGCTAAAAGCTGTATAGGACAAATCTGCAGCTGCTGTAAATTGGCATAACCTCACTGACTTCAGTGATGCTATTGCAATGTACAGTAAAACTCCAGTGGTCCGGCATCTGATGGTCCGGCACTCCTGATGGTCCGGCACCATCAGGAACCCGGAACTGCTAAAATTGACCAGCGGCTGAATCGGGGAAGCCGGGGGCAGAGCACCTGGGGTGCTGCGGGGACCAACCCGGCAGCACCCCAGCTGTCCCTGATTCAGCCGCTGCTGAAACTGACCAGCAGCGGCTGCATCGGGGACATCTGGGGCAGAGCCGGAATATCGGAAGGGGGGGGGTATCGGGGGGCCGGGGGCGGGCCC